CCTTCTAACTAAAATGGTTTAAATGACTTGCATCATTAATGAGGCCAAGAAAATCTGAGCACAGATCTTTTAAGAAAATTCTACAGACTTCTATTTTATGGGATTTTAGAGTCATAAAACAAAACCCACTAAAGTCTTTCAGAAAGGAAAAGGAAGAAGGAAGGAAATCCTACAGACATCCAAGCCCTTTGTTTTGTTTTGATTTTTTGAGACAGGGTTTCTCTGTGTAACAAGCCCTGGCTGTCCTGGAACTTGCTTTATAGACCAGGCTGTCTCAAACTCAGAGATCCGCCTGCCTCTGTCTCCCAAATGCTGTGGTTAAAGGTGTGCTCCACCACACCTAGCAGCCAAGCCTTTTCTTGACCCAACAATCAGCAAAATTTCCACATCAGATTTTTTTTTTGATTTATAAGCCTTTTATTTTTTTTTAATTTATTTTGCAATACAATTCAGTTCTACATATCAGCCACGGATTCCCTTGTTCTCCCCCCTCCCGTCCCCCTCACCTTCCCCCCAACCGCCCCCCCCCCCAAACAATCCTGCATAGGCCCCAGGTTTCAAACAGCCAACTCATGCAATGAGCACAGGACCTGGTCCCACTGCCTGGATGCCTCCCAAACAGATCAAGCCAATCAACTGTCTCACCCATTCGGAGGGCCTGATCCAGTGGGGACCCTTCAGCCATTGGTTCATAGTTCATGTGTTTCCATTCATTTGGCTATTTGTCCCTGTGCTTTATCCAACCTTGGTCTCAACAATTCTCGCTCAAAAAACCCTCCTCATTCTCGCTAATTGGACTCCCAGAGATCCACCCAGGGCCTAGTCATGGATCTCTGCATCCAGATCCCTCAGTAGTTGGATGAGGTTTCTAGCACAACAATTAGGGTGTTTGGCCATCTCATCACCAGAGTAGGTCAGTTCGGGCTGTCTCTCGACCATTGCCAGCTGGCAGATTTTTTTTTTTAACTGAAAAGATAGATTTTCTTACAGTAGATTCTGACCATGGTTTCCCTCTCCCAAATCCTTCTGGATCCTCCCCATCTCCCTAATACCCTTTCTCTTTCTCATTAGAAAACAGACATCCAACCCAGGTGGTGGTGGTGGTGGTGGTGGTGGCGCGAGCGCCTTTAATCCCAGCACTCGGGAGGCAGAGCCAGGCGGATCTCTGTGAGTTCAAGGCCAGCCTGGTCTACAGAGTGAGTTCCAAGATGGCCAGGACTGTTGCACAGAGAAACCCTGTTTCTAAAACAAAACAAACAAACAAACAAAAAAAAAAGAATCAGGCTTCCCCAAAAAAACCCAGAATAGGACAAAACAAACAAGCAAGTAGGGGTGGGGAGTCAAAGAGTAAGTATAAGAGACAGAGAGATACAGAGACACACACAGTCCCATATGTAGTCAAAGAGTAAGTATAAGAGACAGAGAGATACAGAGACACACACAGTCACATATGTAGAAATCATGAAAACACACAAAATTGGAGTCCAATACTATACAAGCAAAAGACCCGTAAAGCAGAAAAATGCCCACACAAAACGTCATGAAACCTAAATAATAATAATAATAATAATAATAATAATAATAATAATAATAATACAACTGAGTTTGTATCTATTGCTGGGCATTGGGCCGTCCTTTAGTGTGGTTTGTATATCCAGTAAGACTCCCTTGGAGAAAACCCCTTTTTTCCCCCAAGGTCTCTCACTCTCTGCATATTTTCCAATTGTTGGGCTCTGTATTTGTTCCCATCTACTGCGGGAGAAAACTTCTCTGATGATGGCTGAGCAAGACATTGATCTATGAATATAGCAGAATGTTGTTGAGAATCATTTTATTGCTATGTTTCTTTAGCAGAACAATGGTGTTTGGTTTTCCCCTAGGTTTATGGCCTGTCTAGTCTCAGGTTTTGGCCAAGCAAGCAGTGATGGGTATGGGTTCCAGCTCATGGAATGGGCTTTAAATCCAGTTCAGATAGTGGTTGGTTACTTCCACAACTTTTTTTTTTTTTTTTGGTTTTTCAAGACAGGGTTTCTCTGTGTAGTTTTGCTGCCTGTCCTGGAACTCGCTTTGTAGACCAGGCTGGCCTTGAACTCACAGAGATCCTCCTGCCTCTGCCTCCTGAGTGCTGGGATTAAAGGCGTGCGCCACCACTGCCCAGCAGCTTCCACAACCTTTGTGCCACTGTTGTCCCAGTGTATCTTGCAGGCAGGACACCATTGTAGATCGAAGGGTTTGTAGCTGGGGTGGTGTTTACCTTTCTCCTCAGTAGTGTGCAGAGTGCCTTACAGTACTATGAACACTATTCAGTAAAAATGAAGGCTCGAGGTAGGCACCAGCTTGACTTCTCCACATTGAGTGAGTTATGTAGGTGTTGTCTTCAGCAATAGGACCTTATCAGTTTGTGGAGAGCAACCAATAGCTTTGCCAATAGCCTGGGTTGTTTGGGGTTTCCATGGGGCTCCTTTGGACAACAACTCTATTCGATGTAATTCATTCCCAGCACTGGAGGTTTCAGTAGGTGGCTAGAGACGTCTAATTGGGGCTTTGTCTCCACGTTATTTGGTGGTTCCATTTATATTTCTTTCATATATGCATAGAGTTTAAGAAGCTTCTTCCATGTTAGGTTTCCATATGACCTCTCAATTGGCCCTTAGTTTTACCTGTCCCTCCCTATATTCCCCCTCTTACTCCACATTCAGATTTTTTTTACATTTCTTTTACTTTGTGTGTGTGTGTGTGTGTGTGTGTGTGTGTGTGTGTGTGTGTGTGTGTGTGTACATGCCACAGCACAGATATGGAGTTCAAAAGACAACTTATAGGAGTCAGTTTTCTCCTTCACTGTGTGGATCTAGGAGATCAAACTCAAGCCTTTGGCCTTAGCAGCAAGTGGCTTACCTGATGAGCCATTTCACCAGCTCCTAGATATGATTATGATTATTGAAGGAGATTTTCTGTGTTAAAGGAGGGGTAAATATGCCCCTCGTGTGAATGGTATATAGATCATGGAGCCATCAGTAGGAATTTGAGGTCAGTGGCCACATTCATAACACCTGCAAATGCTGTGTTCCTTGTGCTTTTGGGTAGATCACAACTGTTTGGAAGTATGTTTGATTTTGCAAGACTTTAAATGTTTTAGGGCTATCAGCTTATTTATGAAAAATACAATAGTATTTTTCAACTTTTATTATCCTTCTCCCAAGACATTTTTCATTCTCCTTTCCGTGGACAGACACACACACACACACACACACACACACACACACACACACACACACACACACACAATGTGTATCCATGTGCTTGAAGGGGGAACTAATGAGATTATACTAAGTTTATGGGGCTCTTATTTTTTTATTCTTTATTTGTGTGTGGGAGGGGTGGAGAGAACTAGAGCATACACATCCTCCAGAGCACAGGCGGGGAGTCAGAGGATAACTTTGTCAGCTGGTTCTATCCTTCCACCTTCTTTTTGAGATGGGATCTCATTTCTGCTGCTGTACTTCCGCCTGATTCTCTCGGCCTCCCTCCTGCTGGAGGAGGGCTGAGATTACAGGTGATGACACCACTACACAGCTTTTTCTCAAATGAGTTCTGAGGAGTGAACTCAGCTCTTAGGTTTTTATGGTGAAGACTTTGGTCTGCTGAGCCATCTTCCTGGCCTAGAGGCTCTTATTATAGTTTTGGCCCATAAGCCAATTTTCACCTCCAAGAAGGCTATATTGGCTATCTTGAACCCACATAACCTAAAAGTGTCATCATCTAGGGAATGAACTATTATTTGTACCTTGTCTTACAATTTAAAACTGAGATAAGGATTGTTAAGAAACTAACACTGGAAAATAACTTCTGGTACAGTGGCCTGCAGCCCTTGGATAAAAGGAAAAGGAGTAAGTTTCTATATGTCATGGTTGCAGTTTTTCTCTTGATCATTTGAGAAAAGAATAATAAATGTAGCTCTATAACAGAAACAAATAGAGATGTTTTCACAGTGATATTCAGAGGACTAAGGCTAGGTGATGCTGCTGCATCCTGGCATAAAACTGCATTGTCCCAAGGCTAGTCAGCACTAACAGGATCTGCAGCTGAGAATACCATCTAGCCTGCTTTGCTCACAAGGATCTTCTCTTCCCCTAAGAAGGTTTGGTTCTGTCTGAATAAAAGGGTGGTTGTGTATGAAATGCACCTCAGAAGGAGGAGGAGGAAATGACATGTTCATGTAAATGAAATACAACTGCAAATTAAAGTGTCACCCTGTTAAAAAAAATCAATTTTTTATTTAATTGGTTACCAAGGAAAAAATGTCATACTGAAGTGTATATCTCAGGGAAAATTAAACTGAAATATTACAAGTGAATCTGGAATTCAAGGAAGTTCTTGAAGGGGGGAATTATAAAAAAAATTGCCTTAATAAAAATATTCTCATGTTACAAAGGTAGGCTCATAAATTTCTGCTGTGTTATATGCCAGCATTTCAAGAAATTAACAATTATGACCTCATTTGTTCTTTACTGCCTCCTCCAGTCACCATGTGTTGACTGCCTCTTCTCTGGAGGGAGCCTTCTTTTGAGATGGCTTATTAGGAGAAAGGTCATTTACAGAGGAGCAACTGCTTCTCCCAAAGAGTGCTGCATGCTACGCAGACATGCAGAATTGAAACCCATCTGCTCTTTCTGATCTCAGATTTCTTTGCCTGCATTTGTATGAAAACTCATCTGTCTCTTCAGCTGATATACATACTCCTAGACAGTGTATATTCAGGACCTGACACATTAAGTAATAATGGGAAGGACTTAGGAGTGGGGTTCCATTTCCATATAGAAATGTTTCTTGTGAAAGGTTGTGTCTAGTTTCTCTTCTCAGTGACTTGCCATTCAGATTTCTCCAGCTCTCTTGAGCTTTTCTCCTCTACTAATTCCTGTGTTCCATTCCATTCTCCGTGGAAAAACAGAAAAAGAATGCAGTATAGTCTCATGTGCTCCCTTTGTCTTCTCTGTCACCAGGGGCCGTGATTGGAGACGGACAGTCTGCTGTGGCCAGTAACATTGCCAATACTACCTACCGGCTTCAGTGGTGGGACTTCACAAAGTTTGACCTTCCAGAGATCAGCAATGGTGAGTCAGTGTGAAACTGGAGCGCTGATGGCTGAGGTGACAGAATAGTAAACAAACTGAAGTAGCACTGGGTTGTCTGTCTCTTAGTGAGTTGTCGATGGCCACACACTATTTCTAAGCTCCTATCCTCAGCTACCAGTTAAGCAATTCAAAAAACAGTTCAGGGGAAATGTCCAGAGCAAATCTCCCCTGAGCAGTTTGTGGAGAAGTTCATAGAGACTAAAAGATAGATGGAGCTAAGAGAAGACAAAGTGAATGTAGGATTTATGAGCTACATCTGTGACTCTGGAGAAATGTTGTAGTGACTTTAGACTTGTTGACAAATCCGGGTCTCAGCAAACCAAATGAGTTGGTATGGTTAATACCCGATTTACAAAAGTTTCTGACTGGTAAATGTTTCTTTTTAAAGAAATCCATGGCCCCATTGTTCAGCACTGTAGACATTTCCTCTGCCTAATGTAGGACTGAAGCATTCCTGAGAAGTGGCATCAGTGTTATGTTTCTATTCTTTCGCATAACAAGCCATCACCGTTTCTTTCCTTTGATGTCGCTTTATCTCATTGGTCTTGTTTCTGCTGCTGCATCTCCATACAGTCTGTCCACTGCCTTTTAAATGGGCAGTCCTCCGGCAGTCTGGAAGTGCACTGCCCTAGTCCTCCGGCAGTCTGGAAGTGCACTGCCCTAGTCCTCCGGCAGTCTGGAAGTGCACTGCCCTAGTCCTCTGGCAGTCTGGAAGTGCACTGCCCTTTACTGCTACATCTTGCCCTTCAGACCAAACTTCCGTAGATTCCTTTTTTGTTAATGTGGTTTCCAATGTGTTCTTCTCCCCCTTTATCTTTGGAGGTGGGGTGAAGCAAAACAGATCAGAAAATTCATGATACGAGCTAATACATAATACAGTGATGTTTGGTACAGATTCTAGCAGCTTTTTTGAAGTTACTGTTGCATTTACAATAACTTAAAATCCCTTGATAATTGTTAGTAAGCCAAAATTCAGCCATTCTGTACTTGTGTGTGGTTGGATCTTTTGAAAATTAAGACCAGTTTGTATTATCTTCCTGTCATTGCCATTCAGAACTTTGATCTGTTCTCTTTCAGTCTTTGGAATCATCTGCTAATTTGATAAACATCCCTTTTCAGTCTTTCTTCAGATTACTAGAAAAAATGGTCAGTCAGTCGGGAAATTGCATTAAGCCTTGGGGCATGTTTTGGACTCCGCCTGGATCAGCTCTGGAACATGAATTATTAGTACTTGAGCTTCACATCTAAAGCTCTTCCCTGTTCAGAACAGTTTCTCGGGGCTGGAGAGATGACCAGCACTTAAGAGCACTTGCTAATTTTCCAGAGGAGTAGAATTCAGTTTCCAGCACCTTGGGAAACTCACAAGTGCCTGTAACTCCAGGGGATCCAGTGCCCTCTTTTGGCCTCTGAGGGCACCCACACATACATGATACACATTCATACAGAATGTACACATGCTAGGCATGGTGGCTCAGCCCTGGGAGGCAGAGTCAGGCAAATCTCTGAGTTCAAGCCTAGCCTGATCTACAGAGCAAGTCCAGGACAGCCAGGGCTGCACAGACAACTTGTCTTGATAACTCCTCTCCCCAAAAAATATATACACACATATACATAAATAAAAAGTAAAATAAATCTTGTAAATAAATACTAAAGACTGTAACTCTGTATAGTGCAGGCCAGCCTTGACCTGACTGTCCTGCCTTAGCCTCCAGTGTTAGGGCTGCAGGCATGCACACTATGACTGTTGGAAGCTCTCCTGTTTTCTGTCTTATGTAAAGTATTGTAAGAGTTTATAGATACCTTGAAATAATTAAGATATTTTTATCTGTATCATTTTATGATATGCCAGTTTTAGTATTCCTGTCAGACAAGGGAAATGAGGTTAAATTTTCATGCTTTGTTCTTAGTGAATCCTAAGTAGCAACCATCCATTTTATTCTAAGTACCCCTAAGCCACATAATCTGTTCTTTTGTTTGTTTAGTTTTTGTTTTATTTATTACTCTATGTGTGCTTGTGCACACAGATGCGGGTATGTGCATGCCATGGCACATGTTTATAGGTCAGAGGACAGCTTTCAGCAATCAGTTCTCTTCCACCATGAATTCTGGAGGTCATGCTCAAGTCATCATGTGTGTGAGGCAAAGTGCTTTCCCCATGGAACCATCTTACTGTCTGGTACACAAATCTGTCCTTCAACTCTACTAAGAATCCAAAGGAGTCTGCCCTTCTCTTGTTGAAAACTCATTTGCTTTTTCATATGTAGATTTCTAAGCCATATCATATTGGCCTTAGTTTATTTACAGATATTTTGATTTTTTACATTGTTTATCTTATTATTACTTAAATTAGATAACACATAATATAGTCACCACTCAAAACTTATTAAGAGGATATACAATAATAAGTTTCTAGCCAGGTGAGGTGTTGCATGCCTTTAATCCTAGCACTCAGGAAGCAGAGGCAGGCGGATCTCTGAGTTTGAGGCCAGTCTGGTTTATATAAAGCATGTTCCAGGACAGCAGTGGGTGTTACACAGAGAAACCCCATCTCAAAAAAAAAAAAAAAAAAAGCAGAAGTTTCGATAGGTAACCACCATCAGTTTCAGTTCTTACATATCTCTTGGAAGATACTGTATGTATGTGTAAGCAGTTGCAGACTAGTGCTTCCCACCTTTTTTTATGTGATCTAAATGACAACATGCTATATAACATCTTCTGCACTTCTCTTTCTGTATGGTGTATCTCAGTGATCTTCCATATTGCTGTAAAGAGTTTACTCGTGTGTGTGTGTGTGTGTGTGTGTGTGTGTGTGTGTGTGTGTGTGTGTGTCTCGCACACATGCAGAGGCATAAGCAAGATGTCAGTAGTCTTCCCCAATTGCTTTCCCTCTTACTGCCTTGAGACAGGTCACCATGTCTGCCTAGTCAGAAGGCTCTCAGGATCTGCAGGTCTCACTTGTCAATGCTGTGGTTATAGCATACTTTTCCATGACTCTAGGCATTTAAAGTCAGGTCATAATACTTCCAGGGCAAGTGCTCTTACCCACTGAGCTGTCTCTAGTGCCTCTTGTCTTCTTTAGAGATAGGATCTTACTTTGTATCCCAGGTTAGCCTGGAGCTTGCAGCAGTCCTCTTGGCTCTGCTTCCTGGAGTGCTGAGATTATAGGCATGAGCTATCACTCCCAGTGGCAGCTGCAGCTGCTGCTGCTATTGCTGCTGGTGCCAGCAGCCCCCACAGCTGCCACTCCTCCTCCTTCCCTGCCCCGCACCCTCTTCTTCTCTTTTGAAAAAATAGCTACCTAGTAATTCATTGTAACCAGTGTCCTGTTAAAAGACTTTGGAGTTTCGAGTCTTACTGTACAAGCTGCTACAGATTGTCTTTTTCATATGTGTCAATAAGAGAGCTACTTTGAAATCCAAAACAGTAAGGTGCATTTGTAATTTTGGTGGATATTACCTTATCGCCCTCTATACAGATTGTGCCAAGTAATAGTCTCATCTATAGGTTTTGTTTGTTCTCCCCCACCCCCAAACAATTTTTCAAAGACTGGCTTTGAATTCAGAACAGTGCTCTCGCCTTGGCCTCTTGGAATGCTTGGGACTGCGAGTGTGAGCCACCATGCTTGCCCCACCTCCCCGAAGCCCAGAGTCTTTCAGAGTGCTCAGTCTTATAAACAGTTGCTGAAGGAGTGTGTTACCACAGGTGGGCATATTGGTGGACTTGATCGGTTAAAGACTACTACAAGAGCATGTATGGTTCTGCACATCCTTGATGGTACTGCCTTGCCTTGGCTGCCCATGTGCTTTACCTCTTTCTCTGCATGTTACTGTTTTTTTTTTCTCCTTAGTAATTCTGCAGAAGTTCTTTATAAATTGGAAAATTAACTTATAATAGGAGTTTCTTGTCATTTTTCTTTTGACTTTGTTGAAGGTTATTTTTGTCATAGAACTTATTTTAAGTCAAAATTATATGCCTTTCCTTTTATGGTTCTTAGGCTTTGTGTCATCAAGATCATTTCCTACTTTTATATTTTAGTTTTATACATTTAAATCTTTGATTCACTAGGAAACTTAGTTCCAGATGACCAACTGCTATGCTTTCAATATGGACATTAAAGCCAACTTTATTTTTTTGGGCGGGGGGTATTAATATGCACCCTAGCTATCCTGAAACTCTCTGTGTAGACCATGTTGGCCTCAAATTCACAGAGATCTGCCTACCTCTTCCTCCCAGGATTAATGCCAGGATTAAACGAGTGAGCCACAACACCCAGCAGGTTCCTAGTTTTTACTTTTAACTGTTTTAAGTATACCACACATGTGTAGTTATAGTCTGGATCTTGGTAAGATTTAGTCAATAAATTGGGACTCTGTGTTGTTGTAGGATTCATTTTTCCAAGTTATCTGCCTCCTACTAGAGGGTAGCTTTTGGTTTTGGAGCTATGCCCATGCCTGGAAGCCTTTGACCCTTAGTTTTATTTATGGGTTCAACTGGCACCAAGTTGCTGCTCAGATGATTTTTCTGCATCACATTTAACTCTTTTTTGGAAGTAGGTTAATGATTCTTGCTACTTGTTTCTCTCACTTGAGATTAAGGGACCTAATGAATTCTTACCTGGGAGATGCCTAGAACTTGATGAATAAAACTTTGCCTTAGCCGGGTGGTGGTGGCGCACGCCTTTAATCCCAGCACTTGGGAGGCAGAGGCAGGCGGATCTCTGTGAGTTCGAGGCCAGCCTGGGCTACCAAGTGAGTTCCAGGAGAGGCTCAAAGCTACACAGAGAAACCCTGTCTCGAAAAACCAAAAAAAAAACAAAACAAAACAACAAAAAAAAAAAAAAAAAAAAAAAAAAAAAAACTTGCCTCATGTAGATTTTTATTTATGTGTGTGAGTGTCTATGTATGTATATGTTCTGTGTGTTCAGGTGCCTGCAGAGGCCAGAAGAGGGTGTTGGCTCCCCTGGAGCTAGAGTTCCAGGA